GCCCCCCAACCCCCCAAGCCCCCACCAATGTGGTGGCTGTAGTCTAGATGTCCCTGTCCTGACGTTTCCGGGGCCTGGGCTGCCGTGGCCGTTCTTGGGCTGCTCTCCTTCTGCATAATGTGCTCATGGTTCGCCCATGGAACGTGCATCAGCGCTTTACTCCTTTCTATGGCGAACGGCCCACTGTATGTGATACCACATTTTCTACCGATGGTTGTCCGCCGATGGACATCTGGTTGCTTCCACCTGCTGGCTCTTATGAATGCTGCTGCTGGGAACGTGTGTGCCTCAGAGTGGCACTGCTGCCCTAGCTGGTTTGGCTCAGTGGATAGAGCATTGGCCTGCGAACTGAAAGGTCCTAGGTTCGATTCCGGTCAAGGGCACAGGCCCGGGTTGTGGGCTGGATCCCCAGTGGGGGACTTGCAGGAGGCAGCCAATCCATGATTCTCTCTCATCATGGATGTTTCTCTCCCTCCCTCTCCCCTCCTCTCTGAAATCAATACAAATATATTAATTTTTTTAAAAAAGAGTGGCACTGCTGGGTCCCATGGTAACGCTGCCTATCCATTCCTGCGGCAGCCATGGGGCTCCGGCCTCACCACCCTCAGCAGCACTGACCTTGCTGGCTCCGTGTCCTGGGCTGCGGGGGCCCTCCCTGTGTTTGATTTGCATTTCCCTGGTGGGTAACGATACCACGCGTGTTCACAGAACAGAACTACCCACATACCTTTTGCTTCCTTCATTGTCTCAGAGACGATCCTTCGCAGCGTCTGATCAGCTTGGTGAAGCGTGTTGGTTGAACAAATAATTCTGTCAGTTTCCTACGTGAGAGAGACACTGTGGTGAGAACCGGTGTAGTTCAGACAGGGCCTGGCTGCCTGGAGGCGGGAGTGGTCTGTTCCTCCTTCTCCCGGAGGGAGGCTCTGAGTGAGATGCGTCCCGCTGGAAGCCGGTCCGCCCAGGCAGGGGTGCGGGTGAGTGTCCACTGATGGGCTTGCGGGGAAAACACGAGGCCGGCGCCCAGTGCCTGTCAGTCTGTGTGAACAGCCCCCCCACCCCCCGCCCCCGCAGTGACCCACACAAAGGCTGGATTTCCAAAACTGGAACAGCGAGCGGGCCCCCCCAGGGCCCCCCCCAGTCCAGGGGCTGGGCCCCTTCCCCCCGGGCTCGTTTTACATTTGGCTCCAAAAGGCCTTCCTACAAAAGGTGGCCCCCCTCACACTCGCCCTGAGGGGAGACTTACCTTCTGCTCCGCGTTGTCCTCGACACGGTTCACGGGGTTTTCCAGAGCAGCAAGCAGCAGGCCGGTCAGCTCGGGGCTGGAGGAGAGGGGGTAGCACACGTCACTGTAACAAACACCTTCACCTGCGGCGGGGCGGGGGACCGTGTGCTCCACGCGGGTGAGGACTAGCCCGCGGTCCGCGGCTGCGGAGAAGCGTCAGCGCAGGGCTGCCCGGGAGGCGCCGGGGAGCAGCTACCTGGCCGCGGCCGAGCACGCGGGGCTCCGCACCGTGAGGCTGTTGTGCTCCCAGGCGTTTTTCTCGGGGTTGGGCTCCTCCATCTTCCCCCGCATCAGGCGGATGGTCTCGGCGGGCAGCGCCCCCGGCCGCTGGCCATTCCTCTGTACACAGGTCTCCAGAGGACAATCTAAAAAGAGCTGGCAAAACCCCAGCGAGTCTGGAAGCAACGGGAACCCACAGTCACTGGCGCCCGCTTTCCTAAGCGTCCACTGGTGAAGGGCACGCTGCGCGGGGAGCATCCAGCTTTGGGAATTAAGTCAGTTCCCTGGGACCCTCCGACCCAACTGCATCTCACTGAACACAGCGATGGCTGATTTGCAAATCAATGAGTGTGTGTGTGAGCGCGCCCGTGTGTGTGTGTGTGTGTGTGTGTGTGTGTGTGTGTGTGTAAGGAAATGCCTCACTTACACTTGCGAGCCAGCTGGTAGACCTCGTATCTCATGCTTCGGTAATAGAAGTTGTCATCTAAAATCAGAAGCAACGGCCCGGACGCGGTGGTCGGGGTCGGGAGGCAGTGGGACACGCCCTCCGAGGCGGGAGGCAGCAGGGCCTGGCCCCGCAGGGCAGGTGACGAGCGCCTCCCACAGGGCCTCCGTCCCACCGGGCGGCGCCGAACAGCGGGGTCCCCGTGCAGGACGGCCCGCAGAAAGCATTTCCAGGGTCCTTCAGCAGCTCCTGGCGCAGCGACTTCCAGGCGGGACGGCTGCAAAAGACCCAGAATCGCAGCTGCCGTGGCTGTGCGCCCACCTCAGCGCCACCCGCCTCACAGGGTCATTGCGCCTGCGCCACCCAACCGCTGGGTGTGCCCTGAACGCACTTCTTTCCTTTCCTTTTTATTAAATATGTGTTTATTGATCTCAGAGGAAGGGAGAGGGAGACAGAGAGAAACATCAATAATGGGAGAATCATGGATCGCCTGCTTCCTGCTGCCTCCTACTGGGGATCCAGCCCCAAACCCAGGCCTGTGCCCTGACCAGGAATTGAACTGGGACCTCCTGGTTCAGAGGTCAACGCTCAACCACTGAGCCACACCGGCCGGGCACAACTTATTTTCTCATGCCTCCATGTCCTCCTGTAAAACGCCTCCTCGGTGACATGAGCCCCTGTGAATCCTCTCGGACGGCCTCCCTCGGCTGTCCCGACCCCGGTCCTGTGCAGACCGGGGCTCCACTCGGGCAGGGTGCGTGCTGCTGAGGCATTTGCCTGCACAGCTCTATGTCCCTGCGAGGCCCCTGCACACCCCACCTCCGGCAGAGGGCCTGGCACCCATAGATGCTCCAGAAATGCATCTTCAGTAACAGAGTGAATAAATGACAAAAAGCTGCTACCATCCAGGAGAAAGAAGCCAAATCAATGCCCTGCCACAGAGACTGAGTCTGGCTATGCTAGAGCTGGTTTACCGTGGAAACAAGGGAAGGTGTGGACAGAAAGAGGGTCGTTAAGGCCCTGGGTCAACGGCGAGAGAGGGAAGCAGATGGAGGTGTTAGTGGGAAAACATTCACAGCTGTGTGGGTTTCTGTGAGTTTGAGCCAAACTGTGGACAATGGCCGGGAGGAAGAATCTCAAGGGACTGGGATAGTGCTCCGGAGAACGGCAGCTGTTCACCTGTTTTGTACGTTACAGGCAAAGGAGGAGACAGAAGGGGGTCACAGGAAACCCATTGCTGATAGATAAGGAGGCGGAGAAAGCGCAGGGGGGGGACCTCTGGGACTGGGTAAGTGAAATGATGGACACGTGCTTCTTTACAAGGTGGGTGCAGAACAGTTAACAGTCCAATTAACACGACAATAACATGAGGGAACTTGTGGTCTCCGCCCTGAGGGGCCTGGAAAAAGGAAAGTTACAAGTTACTCTGACATATGCAAAAAGATAATTGGCTCAATTAAGGTATAGATTGACCTTATCATTTAAGATACCAGCCTAGGACACGACTACCCACCATCACTGCTTTTAGTTGAAGTTTTAATTTCAGACCATCCTTTGGTGACTTTCGGTCTCTGAGTTTGCATGACCGCCATGCCGGCCTCCCCTGAGCTGGTCAGGTCAGCACGTGGCCCCTTCTCCATCCACAAAGGGAAGAGAATAAATGGCGTGAAATACATGTCATCTGTGCTGCTCCAGGGCTGTGGGGAGCTCCGACACAGCTGTGAAGCCAAAGACCAGGACAGGAGGTCAGGGTCCCTCTGCTGCCTGCCTGTCCGTACCATACCACGGCACCGAGACCGCAGCACCTTCACCAAATCCATCAGTGAAACTCACTAAAACTAAAGACAAAACTAAAGAAGTGTGATACCCTTTCATGCGCCTAGAGGAGCCCACGGCCTCTGTTCCTGTGAGACACAGAATGAGGAAAAGCCCAGCGAATGCAGCGTCCCGACCACAACGTTCAGCTTCCTGCAGCGTGAGACGCTGTCATCTACGTGAATCCGTGCGGCCAGGACCTGCTGCTGTGTCCGCCTCACAATTAGCCAGGAAGGGGGAAGTATGTAACTTCGCTGGCGTGGTCCACACTTTTCCATACACCAAATGAGCTGTATTTTTGCATATATGCAAATAGACTAACATTGTTAGGGGACCAGCTATAATTATAACAAATATGAATCATGCTCTGTTAACCGAGATTGTTTTGATTGAAGAAGGCAAATTCGAGCCTGACTGGGAGTTGTAAAGAGACCTGGAGCTCCCCTGGAAATGCAGCCTATTCCCCGGAAAGATTAGCAACCTGCCGCGCCTGAGGCACCGCCCTCTGCGCACCCCCAGGCCATTGGGAAACACCCCCTCCCCGCCCCCCGCCGCAGAGCCTGTAACGGCCCTTTCTTGTTCCTTTTGTTCTCACAGGCTGCCGGCAGGATGGGAGTCAACGTTCACATACGATTCAACCCCGGCTCTGCTTAATTGGCTCAGGCAGTGACAGGCAGCCACTGACTGTCCGGTTATAGAATCACATCCTAGTTGTATCTTGTTTACGTGAATTCATCTTCTGGACAAAAAGGGGCCACGTGCTCACCTGACTAACTGAGGGAAAGGCCTTGTAAACTCAGAGACCTACAGTAACCACGAAGGACGGTCTGAAATGAAAACCTGTTCATGAAAAAGCAGTTTATAGTGGGTAGTCAAGTTCTAGGCCAGTATCTTCCCTGACGAAGATCAACTTCGATCTTTACTGAGCATCTAAGATAACACACCTGTGAAATACCTAGGTGACTTGTAACTTCCTTTTTTCCGGACCCCTCAGGGACAACAAATGGCCCGGGGCAGAGACCACAAATTCCCTCATTGTTGTTATGGTGTTAATTGGACGGCTAACTGTCCTGTACCCACCTGTCTATCATTTTACTTTTTACCCAATCCCAGAGGTTCCAGCCCATCTTGCTTTCTCCCATCTCCCTCATCTATCATGTAACCCACTTAGGTCTCCTCCTTTGATGGTAATTTACAAAAATAGGTGAAAAAACCACCGTTCCGGAGCACTATCTTCTAGATACATTGAGATTGTTCTTCCTGGCAATTGTCAACAGTCTGGCTCGAATAAACACACACAAATTCTTTACAGGTTTGAATGTTTTTGTTTTTTTCTACATTAACAATCTACATTCAGGCATAAAGGACAAAAATAACTACCTAAAGTATTCAGAATATTTCAGCCAATGAGTATTTGCTTTGGAGTGAGCCTGAGATGGGGAGCGTAAATCTACTCTACCCAGAGGTCTCAGCTTTCACATGCCTCTCCCAGGGGTGCACCTCACTGCAGAGAGCAGAGGTGAGGGCTTAAAGAGGAGTATGTGCTTGGGACGTACAAGTCGGTCCCTAAATACAAGCCATGAATCGTTTGGCCCCACCCTCCCCTTTGCCTGCAGAGGCAGGTTAACCCAGAATGAATGAAGATGGAGCCTCTCCATCGTCCTGGGAGGGACCCTAGCAATTTTGTTACTTACCTTGTATTCTTTTTAAAATATATTTTTATTGATTTCAGAGAGGAAGGGAGAGAGAGAAAGAGAGAGAAACATCAATGATGAGAGAGAATCATTGATTGGCTGCCTCCTGCACACCCCACACTTGGGATTGAGCCCGCAACCCAGGCATGTGCCCTGACGGGGAATGGAACCTCCCGGTTCATAGGTCAATGTTCAGACACGGAGCTACATCAGCCGGGCTTGTATTCCTTTTTCTTAAAAAGGGTTCCCCCAAATGTATACACTTTAAGCCCCACAAACCTGCACTCTGGATGTTACACTGGCTGTGGTGGAGTTTTTGAGAGAACACCGTTCCCAAAGGATCTTCAAGAGCCTATTTGGCCTGGAGATGTCCACCTGCTCGCTGACTTCAGAACCTGACCCCGTAGGAGCCCACTGTAGAGGATATACACACCTACCTGCCCCACACGTACTCATAAGCCTCTATAGCAGCGGTTCTCAACCTGTGGGTCGCGACCCCTTTGGGGGGTCCAACGACCCTTTCACAGGGGTCGCCTAAAACCATCGGAAAACACATCTATAATGACATATTGTTTTTGTGATTGATCACTATGCTTTAATTATGTTCAATTTGTCACAATGAAAATACATCCCGCATAGCAGATATTTACATGACGATTCATAACAGTAACAACATTACAGTGATGAAGTAGCAACGAAAATAATTTTATGGTTGGGGGTCAC